GTTTAATGGGCTTCCAAGGGGTAACTCGTGAAAGTAGAACCCTTTGGGCGAAAATTTTGTCCGTTTTGTTCTACTTCGCACCGTTTGGGTGCTAGGGAGCATTTCTTGGCGAAAATAAGGTGAAAACGACAAAATGGTCTATTAAATCGTAAAATTTAACTCGTCTGGGGTGTCAGCGCCGCAGGCCTAGCTATATGTGGCGCGTCGCAGCGTAACAGTGTTTCGTGATATATCGCGAAGCCTGTTACGCGAGACGTGGTCTGGCGTACATGAAGCTAGTAGTTTTAGTATTGCATAGGGTTTATGGGATTATGCGTAATACCTAATTGGCTGAGCGATTAGCGAAGCCTATTACTCCGTCTGGTCGGTAAAAACTTTTTCTGTCTTTCTGTCTATCTATCTGTCTGTCTGCACGTCTGTCTGTCCGCACGATAACTCGAGAACGGATTGAGCGAGCGACCTAGGATTTTCAGGGTCGTTTTCTACCTAAAAAAGACAGGTCGAGTTCGAAGATGAGCATTCTAGCTCAAAAACTGGATTTTTAAAAAATCAAAAACAACAGGTCCCAAAAATGACGTTTTTTAAAAATATTTTTTTATGGTTTCCTAAGGGGTAACCCATCAAAGTAGAGTCATTTGGGCGAAAATTTCGTCCGTTTTGCTCTAGCTCAAACCGTTGAGGCGCTAGAGGGTATTTTTGACGAAAATAAGCGAAAAAATGTGCAAGCATGCATGCTTAGTCGAGGTGATAGGCCGTTAACGGGCCGTAGGCCCGTACCTTTGTGTACATTTTTCCACTACCCGACTCGGGTATCAGCGCCGCAGGCAAAGGTAGATGTATGCCAGGCGCGTCGCAGCGTAACAGTGTTTCGTGAGATATCGCGAAGCCTGTTACGCGAGACGTGGTCTGGCGTACATCATAGCTAGGATATCGCGAAGCCTGTTACGCGAGACGTGGTCTGGCGTACATCTACCTTGTTATCTCATTTAGGTGTACAGTTTATTACGCAAGTGAAAACCCCGTTGGAGGGTCAGGGTATAAAAGTGACTGTGCGGGCAGAATGGGAAATTGTCGGAAACGTAAAACGCGACAGGTTGCCTACATCTACGTTCCGCATTTGTAATACACCGTTTAGAAGGAATTGCGTTACACTAGTGAATAAGAGGGCCTACTTTCCCCCAAAATGCTTTATTTCCATGCACAGTATTATGGACTAGTCGGCTAAAACAACCCCTTAACCTTTAACATTTCCCCCCATTCCCCCAATTATTTTTTCTCCTGGAGTGATCTGTTCAACTGACCAAATTTGATGTCTTTTTTGACCTTGTCTTTTCGGGCCCCTTCGACTCTCCCTTTTGGCCGGACTCTGGTGTTAGTACCGGAAGCCTAGCAAGATGTGTTGCCAGACGCAACGCCGTCTCACAGTGTTTCGTGAGATCTCGCGAAGCTGTTTACGCCTAACACGGCCTAGAGTATAAGTTGGTATTTGTATATCTGAATTCGTGTGTTTCAGGTCGTGTCATAGAAGGAGCCAGGCCGATGGTAAGCGCTGAAGGTGATTACGAATCAAAGACCAACCAGTATTATCCCACACGATCAAATAACAACCCCGAATACTACAATAACCCTGCCTCACAAAGGCGCTGTTCTTTTGGGCAATGCGTGGTCAGCATACCCGGAAACAACAATGAAGATATTTACTTCTGATTTTTTTTGTCAAGACGGTTGGGCTAGTATGTGTGTACCTTGCTGTATGTCAGGGCTCCGGCACATTAGTATTGCGAGATTGCGAACCGAAGGGTCCTGCATGCTTGACGCGTGGAGCGAGTAGGCAAACTCACAAACTGTTGAGTCGTCGCCCTAACACACGGTGTACACTTGTACTAGCCTATAATAGACCCTTTTAGCAAAAGCGAAGTGAAGAGCAGGGTGAGGGACAACCGACAGGAAACAACTGCTTAAACTACCTAAACTAAAAACGATTACTTGTGGGTCGTTCTAGTTTCGATACTGTTCACAGTTTACTAGCTCTAGGCCTTGCCCTATGTATCGAGCCGATCCTACGACTATTTTAGCAGAAAGAGAAGGAATACTCCGGCACTTACAAAGAATATATCTATCATACCGTTTACAGGTTATTCGCGCCTTGTTGTAAAAGTGTGTCCAACAACATTCCAGAATAGATGGCATAATCCAAGATTAAATGGCGTTAATTACGTTTATCACGGCCAAGCAGATTTACACTGAGATTTGAAGTATTTAGCGTGACTGTCCATAAAATTACTATATACCACTCAAATCCTTCTAAAATTTACTGTGTTCAAGTGTTTCTTTTTTTAAAACCATTCGCAAATTATAATTCAAAGCAGAATTTGTACCGTTCTCAAACTGTAAGTGCAGAGGTTTATTACACCCCTTTACCGGTTGAAGATTGATCACTAGAAAAACGTGCTGTTACTATAATAAAATATGTTTTATATACATTTATGCGAACAATAAACCTAAAGTGAGTGATTTGGCTGAAAATAATTAAGAAATGTACTTGACAATATTAAATCAGAAACATTTTGTTTCGACAACCAAAACCAAATTAAATTCAAGTGTAACATCTTGTGCAACACGCTGATCCTCTATTCTAGCTTCCTTTTCTTCGGAAGAGGTTGGTCAGCTTCTGGAACTGAAACAGTAGAAAATCAACTTCATACCACTTTTGCATTTATAAGAATAAAATTGTTATTACTTACGCAGCTTTTCCTCCTTGCCGACCAATTTAATGGTGTAACTGAACTCTACAACATTTAACACAAAATTAAAACAAATATCACACCACAAATAAGATACGTTGAGATACCAGTTCACTGGTAATCGTGCCAATGAACGTATGTCCCAAAAAATCAACTTTTTTATTTAAGGTCTTTTGACACGAAAACTTTATATTCTGAAAATAGAACGAAATTCAATAGACTCGATTTTTGGGACATACGTTCGTTGACACAATTACTAGTGAGTTAACTTCTTGTAATACGACCAAGCAACAGCTACGAAACTAATACAGATAACTAAATTGCAAAGTAAGTATCAAAATCTAAATCAACAAGGGTATAAATAACAACTTAGCTTAATCCATTCTCAAATATTTGTGCCTAGATAGACACAGACAGACCTGAAACTGTTTTGATCATTATTGAAGTGAAAGGCTTCACTATTGCTCAACCCATAATTCGAAATCAAACACTTTCGGACAAAAATGGAAATACTGCTACATTTTCTGTCTTCCTTGTCCAGGACGTCCAAGCCAATTTTGTCTAAAGCAATACCCTCCACCCTCAGACAATTTACCACCTATCATTGGCAATGCTATAGCCTCCAGACATTTCTTCCGCATCTTTTGTGGCGGCCCGCCCTGAGCGCCACCAGGGGCTCGGGCAGCAGCTGTCCACGTTGCCTTGCGGCATCTCGGGGGACGTTCACTGTGGGGGTAGAAAGAAAGGCCCTAGGCGATAAAACTTACTTGGTCCATGCGCCGAGACCAGGTCCAGTTCGCTTGGAACTGGACCAAGGCGTCCTGTTCTGTGCCCAGTAAATTTTCCTTGAGTGCACGGCCCTGGGGGGTTACGGGCCTTACAGCCCGCCCTCGAGCCCGGAGTCCTCGCAGGCGTTTGTCCAGCCAGTCTCCGGTATGGCCGTAGAACATTTCTGGGAAACAAGAGAAGCGCACGTGTGGTCGAAACCTTTACCGAGGAAGACTTGAACAGTCAAGCCTTCTACCGGCTATGAAAATGGTCTCAGCTTCCCTTCTTCTTTCTCATCTTGAATATTAGTGTACCTATCAATTTTTTTATCGGGATAGCGACCCGCACAGGCAGTTGAAAGGCCCCAGTATATGCAGCACTACTAAACCTGGTAGCCTTGGCTTTTGCTTTCGGCTTATCCCGGTACGACGTCTGGAATATGAAACAAAATTTCAATAAAGGTAACTTATTCACACAACAAATGACAACTAAATTTGATCTTACTACCGGAATGGTATATTTAAATATTCCTCAGCTCATGTGGTGGGAGGCGGCTCGCTGTCGGCGCGCGAGACAGGCTCCCTTTCACCCCTCTCTTTCTGCTCCTCCTCCTCGCCGGTTGCCTCGTCGTCTGCAGGGGCTGCGTCCGCAACCTTCTTGCCCTCTCTTGCGCAGCGGCGGAGGCAATTCGCACCTAGATGTTCTGGTGAATCACAGACGCGGCATGTTCTGGGCTGAAAGGCGTACTCAACCTTGACCTCGAACCCGGCAACCTCAATGTAGGACGGCACGTGTGCAAACAGGGCGACAATAATTGCGACTCGTACCGATTCGGATGCCTTTCGGGTGTCAGCGCCGCAGGCCTAGGTAGATGTATGCCAGGCGCGTCGCTGCGCAACAGTGTTCCGTGAGATATCGCGAAGCCTGTTACGCGAGACGTGCTCTGGCGTTCATCTACCTAGTATAAAATAACTTCACAAAGTCAAACTATCACTTGTAAATGAATAAAGAGAACTATCTGGGGAGCTGGGAGCGATGCTGTAAACAAGTCAGACCGAGTGTATGAGATTAGTTCTTTCCCTAATCCACCAAAAGTTTCGAATCTCGTAACCGATTTTGGGTTTTGACTCGAAAATAAAGGGTATTCATGAAGAATGATCCCACTACAAATCTTAACTTTGAGTCTCAAACAGTTTAGGAGATGTAAATCCCGAAAACTTTGAGGCAAAAACTGCGTATTTGAGTGGGGGTATAGGTAACACGCTATGCATCTTTGCAATAACAAGCAGGCCCGCCCTTCCGCCAAACGAAGTTGCCAGCTCCGCTTCGCTCCGCCGGCAACTCCGTTCGTCAGGGGCCGGGCCTGCTTGGCCTGCCGGCGGCGATGGTCGGGCCTGTGGCCCGACAATTTGTCACGCGATTTGCTAAAGAACATTATCAAATGATGTAACGGGCCTTCGGCCCGCAAAGCCCGTCGTCCTTAAAATTCGCCCCGTAGACACGAAAAAGGGATGTAACGGTGAAGCACCGCGACTACAACCCACCCTTCTGCTTAGAAGACGTTTTTTTTTTTGGGGGGGGGGGCAGTTTCTTACCTTTTTTGCGGTTTTGGGCCTTCTTCTGCAACTTATTGCTCACTAATGCAATTTTAAGCTTATTTTCGTCAAAAAAGACCCTCTAGCGCCTAAACGGTTAGAGATAGAGCCAAACGGACGAAATTTTCGCCCATAGGGCTCTTCTTTGACGAATTACTCTAAAGAAGATCATAAAAAAAATGTCTGACTTTTTTGACCTACCCCATTTTCTTTGATACCCCCTTTTCGCCCTTTTGGGGTGGTTGCCAGGATTTGCCGTAGGCGTTTCGTTTTCTAGGAGTGAACCTCAAGATACCCTGAAAATTTGAAGTCTCTATCACATCTCCTTCTAGTGGGACAGACAGACAGACACACAGACAGACACGAGGTCGTTTGCATAAGCCCGCTGGATAGCTTTTTCAAAGCAGAAGGGCGGGCTAAAAACAAAACTGACTACACCATTAGGAAGAGAATTGAAAACTGATTCAAAACCAAGCTAAAGATTTGAGTTTTGTTTCCTACCCTTCGATCAAATATATCAAAAATTTTTAGCAGAATATCGTAACTCTCATAACAAAAATAGATAGTGTTTAATTGTAACCAAACTTGGTTTGCAAACCTCCCCTAAGGTCCCTTAACATTCTCTAATTTTAAAGAAGGAAAATATTTAAATTTTGGAAAAAAAATAGGTTCCCTTTGTTAAGTACTGAAAAAAAAAATACTTGTCCGAAACTTGAATCTTATCTTTCTTTAAAAATCAGAGAATGTTAAGGCACACTAAGGGAAGCTGCAAACCAAATTTGATGACAATTGAAGGCTATCTATTTTGGTTATGAGGGAGTTACGACATTCTGCTAATTTTTTTTGATATATTTGATCGAGGGGTAGAAAAATCCAACTTTTAGCAGCATGATTGGTTTTCAAATCTCTTTCCAATGGTGTAGTCAGTTTTGGCCTCACTTCAAGGATTCATACAGTTTTACGTATACTCCCTCTCAAATACGCAGTTTTTGTCTCAAAATTTTTGGTATCTGAACTTCCGAAGCCGTTTGAGCCAAAGAGCCCTGAATTTGAGTGGGGTCATACTTCATGAATACCCTTTATTTTCTA